CATGATATCAAACTATGTTACAAATTTAATAGTTCTATATCGTCACAACTAGTGACGGTTACTGTGTTTTGTGGGACTAGACTTCTTGCGGTATTTCACCCATTAGTCAACTTGCCATTTTCCTATGTGGGTTCGCTGTTAAGGGTATTGCACATAGAAAATAATGCAGGGTGTGATTGATAGATAAATATATATCTGCTTACCGAGAGTCATCTCGACAAAGAATCACTCCAAGTATCCTAAGTACCTCATTACATTTTCCTTTTGGACGTTTTCCATATGTACTTCATATTTCAAGGCTGCCAACAACGGATTGCAGCGAACAAAGGAGAAGCATTCCGAGAAGCATTAGACACTGAACGGACGTTTTGTTCGCGTCGCAAAATTCCAGAGTTTAAGAGGTCAGAAATTTGATTGGCTGGTGGTGTCACCAAAAAGACGAATGCTCAAGAGCGCCGCCTTTAGACCCTAACTGAAGTGGTTAAAATGAAAATAATAGCTATTGAAAAGGGAACGAAAGTTTGGTCTAATTTTCATTAGACTATATGAAACACGCGAAGAACAAATAAAAGCTAACAAATGATAAATCTATAAAATTGAACATTCCCTTAGAACAACAGAACGATGTACATGGTTTTGAATGAATAATTTACAATGAACCATTTGTTTGTAAAGGTTAATCATTTCATTCATGCAAGAGTTGAGTTTTCACGTCTTTCCTGTATCGAGTAACATTGTTAGAAAAAGTCGAAAATAAGATAACATAGATGTTATCTAGAAAAATGACGAAATGAAACGTGCTAAAAATAATTCAAAATAAATTGCAAAATTTTTTCGAATCATATTATAGTAGAAATGTTATAATTTTATCAGATGATGTTTAAAATAACCCCAATATTTGATTGATGTTGGAGTTGGGCCAATATAAATAATGGTTGTAATACTAAAAGTAAAACACGATTGATAAATCATTGTATAAATGATACTTTTAAAAGGTGTGTCGTCGTTTTCTGTTGAACTCATCTTTTGCGCGTGTAACATTGAAATGGGGTGTTCATTGTTAGGCCATCTTCACAACGTTAAGGTATTGCGAACTGCTTCTAATATCTTGAAAACAATAGCCTTTAAATAAACGTAAAGCTTCGAGAAATTCAACAAATTCATAGAGGCCATTTTTTTTAGTTGCCCTTCGAACAAAAATGTAGTTAGCGGTCTAGAATGTATAAGTGGTCCCACAGGAGGGTTTCTTCAGAAAATTACGAATTGCTTCAAATGTGCACGTAAACAATACGTCAAGTTCAAAGAATATATTTTTAACATATTTTAATAACACAAATTAAATGAAATGGAAGGAATTGGAAGGTAATTCTATTTAGAATGATGTTGATAACAGCTTGGCATGCACACTAGTATCATTTCATTATACAGTGCTGAAATAAAGATCTCTTTAAAGGCATACTACCTCTTAGCATGACCACAAAATTGAAATTTTTGAACTTCGTTAAAATGGGTCTTTGTTCATCAGTGGACCTACCTATTCGACAGAATAGCTCCATAACTTAATACATCCATAAAAAGTAATAATTCCTTAAGGTAAGTAATTTTGAACACGCTTAGAAGCATTCTTCAATAATTACTTAGTTTAACATGTTATTTAGAGATTTTATTCTTTAGTCATGGTACCTGGTCCAACTGATGAATATTCTAATTGCATTGAATTTGATATTTTAAATTTTATGTCCATTCTAAGAGCTAGTGTTCCTTTAACAGCCTATTATATAGAATTAAATAAAGAATTTGACAAATGTTAAGACGAGGTTACCATACAATTTGAATTCCAGAGTTCACACTACGTTAGTTATGTTATCTACATATTTAATATGAATTTGAACCATGCCACACATTCGTTGCAGACCCAACCTACACTTCTGTGTGGGATTAATGGTCATGGCTCCACATTTTCGGAGGTCAATCGTACCTTGGTCTCAGCCAGAAACGGGGATTCTTCAGCTAAGCTAATCTGTCATAGTTTAACAGCTTCGAAAATTTCATCCTTCTTAGTCATGTGCATCAAAAATTATCCGTGTTTGAAAATTACATTGACGACTCGCCTTTTTCAAAACTTCGCCATTTGTAGAGCGAATAAGGATTGGATAATCAACAATTTTGTAGTGGCTCCCTTATGAAATCTAGCTAGAATATGTACACTACTCCAACCGAAAAATTGATGGATGATATAATGTAAAACAACATTACACGATACATTATAATATCATGCATTTAACTTATGTTTAAAATGTTATTCCCCTTGTCGTGTTCAAGCATAGTGAAGTCCCTTTCCGGATACATGGAATTAACTCCATTGAATAGTGAATTTTTGAATCCTTGCGACCCACCATGGTGAAGATCTTATTCTGCTCAACTTTATTGGTATGCCCGAATACTGAATATATCTTTTACGAATTCAGTTCAAATTTTCAAATTATGAAGTTTTTTTTTGTATAGAAAATAACCTTTACTAAATGATTTTTGGACATTTACGTTTCCTCTGTAACAAATAATTGATTGTGGTAAATAAAAAAAATACTTGAAGAGAGATATGGCAGTTTTATATGTACAGTACATTATTGTTTATGACTTTATTATTATATAGCCTAAAGCAGACAAAATTATAACAATTTTTATAATTTTCAAATAAAAAGCTTCTTTTTTCTTCAATTTTGAAATACCAGCAGAGAATTACATACAATTAGTTTAAATTACTTTGTTATTATTAAAGTATATCAATAATTTTCGTATTCTAATATACCAATTGTAAATGTCATGTTCTGTATTCCAAGTTCCATACTTTCTCAAGTCCATGGCAAACATATGAATTCATTCAAATTTGATTTCGGGGAATAGAGGATTTGATTCTCTCAAATGTACAGACCTAGCAAAGAACAAATACTTCATCTAGAAAGTTTGATTTTCTCAAATTACCAAGGTTAGAGAGCTTGAAGGGATATTGCAAGAGAAAGGACAAAATGAAATAAAATAGGGGTTTACATTCTTGTGTCCTGCTTGGGCAACTGCATAGGGTGTGAAAACAGCGTGATCCCCCCTTAGTGGCATAAGCCCTCTCTTTTTCGATTTTTAGCTGTTGGCGGATTTTTAACGTGCACAGTCTTAGTATACTGGACAAAGGTTTTTTCCAATCCGGAAGATTAGAATAAGCGTGATAGGGAACGCCTCAAGGTCTATGGTAGGCACCCCTACCAAAGCCATATATTTAAAATAATATAGAAACGCCCCATGTGTGTAACAGTCATGGGAAATGCGTCGAGAGAACGCAACACAGGTTTGCTTGCGACCATACATTTCTAATCGTCGGCGTTACGGGGCTGTTTGCTCAATGAAAAAAATGAATTGCCAGTAGTTATTGTATACGGATGATTCAATTTCACCTTAATGACCCTAGACAAAATTGAAATAGCTAAATTGAAATTACGTCTGTAGGTTTTATTGATTTAATAGTATTGTATAACAATGTAAAGGCCTTCATTGAGTGTTCTTCTGTCTCGAGGTTATATTCATGGAGTATCTAACATAAACGCATCATTATGTATCTGCATGCACAAAAAATTGGCACATACCAAATACAATATGGTTTCAATTTGTTTAATATTGTAATACCTTGAGGGTATCCTTAATATTTGTAATATGCAATAGATTTATGTACGAAATAAATGAAATGACTTAGACGAATGTCTGAAACACAAGTAGAATCTTCCTTTGTAGAAAAATAGAAAACTCTTCAAACTTGGAAAATATTCATATTTCCGCTATGCAAAATGGTAATAATTTGAAGAAAGAGTACTAATGAGTGTCACATGCGTGGGAATATTTCGATATAACTAAATTAGATGAAATGGAGTTTTCGGTAGCACTTTTCTGCTCCTGCTTCTATCGAGGTTAACAAACTTCCAAATAGTGTTACTACAATGAAGGACATGTCGTCATAACATTGGAATTGGCCTATACTCCTTCCGATTTTCAATCAATTTTTAGCATCTTAAACACAGCAGAGGAGGTGCATTCTATCCACCTAAAACAGGACCTAGTTTTTCTGACCCTACTCTCGCCGATAACTTTCACAATAGCACTGGAATAGAGACAGATGTTTCAGATTCTGCCAGAAATATGGATTAATTTAAATGCATTGGGTCGAAATTATTGAATTTTGTAGTAATAATCGCTGACGTAAACAATATGAATCAAACCTTTTTTTTTTAAACATAATCGTTTTTTTATATATACGATCGGTGAGTTCATCAATGTCGTGGATTGAAAGGATATACCATTGACTTTAAAATCAGCCACAACTATTTCAGTATAAAAATGACTAATAAAGGATATAGAAACAATTAAAAGAGGAAATTGAAAGTGTTATTTTAATCAGTTATACTTGAAATAATAGTCATTTTTATAAAATTACACGCGCCATATTTAAGTAATGGGTGAAGATATGTGCACCGAGAATTGGGGTAAAGTTATACGAAATATCATGATCATCGTAATTGTGAGCTTGCATGGATTTCAAGTCTAGTTACATGCAACTATATGGGTACATATTGGGAAAATATTTTAAAGGGATTGTAAAAAGGTTTTCCAATATTTTTATTGGACATTGATAGAAACAATTTGCATCATTCAAATTTTCAATGAAGCTGTAGTTCCGATAATTCCACTAAAAACTAGATGTCGTCATCAATCGCAAAATTATGCTTATAGTACCCTTGCTATTTGTGACGTCATCAAACACTTAGTTGTAGTGGAATTGCAGGAACCACAGGCGTCCATTTTATATTTGAATATTTGAAAAAGTAGCATTTCAGATTGCCTAATACTCCACTGCCAGCTAACAATAGTCTCAGTGATGCAAAAAGGTTGTCCTCTCATTTCTGCATAAAGTCCCGCGCCAAGGCTGCTTTTAACTACACAGATCTCTACTTGGCACGATGGCAGCTTTCTCGGGTCAGAATGGGGAAAAGGTATTTCAAAAAAAGGAATGCACTCACACTGCAATATAGAGATACTTATCAGTTTAAGTTTTATAATCACCTCAAGTACGTCAATTGTGCATATTAGTAAAATACCACCCAATAATTTGAATTATGTTTGTCTATATACTTAACTTCCATATATAACTTTAACTACCCGCGCTACTTGAAAATGTATACGTGATACACGCCAATAGGCATCTTCACAATGTCATGATATTGCGAAATTCGTACTTATACCTTGACTGCAATAGCTTTCTTTTATCACGAAAGTTTGTAAATGAAGCGATTTGATTGGATTGTACGCCAGCAAATACAGCCAATCAGCTGCCTCGATAGAAAATATTTCTACATGATATATCATATATATTCGAATGCTTACTGACTCTCCTCTAATATATACTTTGGTGTTTTTTTCAGAGATCAAGAGATGGTTGGGGACCATGGACAGACTGGTCAATATGTTCTACGTCTTGTGGTCCTGGCCTGGTTTACAGTCAAAGAACTTGTCACAGATTAGACGGGTAAGTTAGGCAGTGTTGAATTACATGTGGCAGAGGTTTGAAGGCCCGCTCTGTGACAAAAAAAATTGTACCTTAATTAGGCGTTTATTTTACTTAAATCCGTGCAGTAGTTTTCTAACAGCTTCCAAAATGAATAACGAACTTTAAAAGTTTACGTAAAATAACGTGAAATAGTTTTTGAATTAACTTATAGATTGTATTAGTTAATACTTTCAGATACGTTAATAGGCACATTTCTCTAGATTGTGGGGCATATTTTTCACAAATTTGAGCAAAACAATTTTCGACCCACAAGAAAGCAGAATGCCCCTTTAAAGAGTACAGCAGTTGTCAGTACCAAGGTCGAAACAAATATAATATTGCATGTACATCATAGCTTTCATGAACGAATACGCCATATAAGATTGGTTGCTGTGATAGATATAAAAACCCTGTATTTTATGTATGTTGGTAATGTATTTTCTATGATAATATTGATATTTATGCTAATAGCTTCGAACATTCCTCTGTATTCTAATAAATCATATTCTTAAATGATAAAAAACGTGGTGCAATATTATATACATGTAGTTAGCCAAACATCCGTGTGGTACCGTGGTGGCCCGTTTAGTAAGACCACTGTAGAAAGTAGGCCTGAATATTTTGTAAATTCGGAGTAACGTTTCATAGTATCATTGGTTATTCACACAAAATATGTCGATGGCCTACTCTTTGCCCAGTGAGCTGTCCACTTAATGCCTTTCAGTTCGTTGGCTTTTGTTTCTGGAGATCGTGTAAACTAGAAAGGGAGGATGGTGACTATAGCTATGTGCAAAGTACATAAGAACATGTCGTGTTTGTGTCAAAATAATATCACTGCCCGATCAGATAATCAAGTATTCCATGTAAACTGTAGCAGTCGCAATTCAGACCGATCTTATATCGGAGGTGACTTTATAGCGTTCCTCCTGTTATAATAACGCTATATGTGAATAAAGATCTTCGAATTTAGAAACAGAATCGAGTTGAAAGATTATTAAAATACATAACACGTTTTGTTAATTTATCAAATTTAAGGCAATTTTTCTGCGCAGCTAGAACATGCAATTATAACACGTGATTAGAATGGCATATGTACTTGATTAAAGACTAATTTACATACAGAAGAGGTGATACTTCAGTCGTTATTGGTTTTCAATGCGTCAATGCAGTTGAAAAGGGATTTATTTTTACCTCAAAGATGTAATTTCTTTGATCTTTCTTTAGAAAATTACATGAACTCTCAATAATGTAATAAGGCATACTGTGTAGACTGATTAATTAGCATTTTGTTGTTGGTATGATTATTTTGTTATATGCCACTGCGGATGCTCAAGAGTTCTCCTTTATATACCCCTATAAATATGTTAAATTAAATATACTTGTTATTTATCCAGGGCTATAATGACTTTCTCCATATCGTTTCAGGAGGAATTCATGCCCTGGTCACAGTAAAAGATACAAAACTTGTAATTTCGGGGTAAGTTATCATCTGTTAGTGGTTCTCGTTGAAAGTCCGTGTATTATTTGAACAACACTGCAACGATTAGTTACTGCAGTATAGGTAGTTAAAACTATCAGAACACGAGGTTTAATTTTCAACCGGGATCGTCATAATGGTCGATATTAAAGTACTGTCAATTCTAATCTTTGCATTCAGCATTTGGTGAACAAAAATTGTAATAAGATCACATTTATAAGTGACATACATTACTTGAAGAAACATTCACCATATAGCAATTAATTTGGCATGCAATTCACAATGATATAGCATTGGCTTTGTAGTTACTAGTATTCGATCACTCTCTATTTGAAAGGATTGTCCCAATTTACCTGAAGATCCTACCATAGAAGAATGTAAAAGACAAAATAGACAGTATTATGGTGGAAAACGATTTTATTGGGAACCATATATCAATCGTAAGTAGAGAAACCTGCTAGCATATCCATCCTCAAGACTTTCATAACCAACAGATAAAATTTGATGATAATGTGGATGTAGGTGTTTCGATTCGTGCTTTAGCTATGAGTGACTTCAGTTGCCATTCGTGATATGAAAATATTGTTATGCTACTCATATGTTATTAAATGCTTCTTCACGGTATCGTAGATGGCGTATAGTAAACCACAATATAACACAACCAAAACGTCATCATCTGGATGTTAATCAGATATGAAATATGGATCATCTCTCCTTTCCGTAAAATTGTCCGCATCTCCTTCTTATACCTTGACTGCAATAGCTACCTTTCTTGTATCACGGAACTTCGTAAATGTAGATGTATTCGATTGGATTGTACGCTACAATACAGTCATAGGCCCTCAAAATCGATGATGCAGTTTAGTCTCTAGCGATTTTCTTGTATGGAAATCTAACAGCTTACGACATAATTTATTTAACCATTGTTTCAGCTCGAACACCATGTGAACTATCGTGTAAAGCAAAAGGACATCATTATATTTATAATATTAAAAGATTAGCTAAAGATGGTACAGATTGTAGTGTTAAACAAAAAGGTGTTTGCCTAGCAGGCCGATGTATGGTACGTATATTCATAAAATTGCTTTATAGTCAATGTATTCGCTATGGTGTATTGCCTCAAACGCCCTGCTCCATTATTATTATCTTTTGTCTGCTTCTCAACTACGATCAAACTTTTTTGGAGTTACGGTATTGTTCTTTCTGCTTTTAAAACTCTTTTGGTTAAGGTTGAGGTCGTCATCAGCTTGATGGTAGCTATTTCCACCAAAATTCGGTACCCTTATTGGTATTGTTTGTTCAAATCCTTATTCAGATCCTCATATATTATAGAAAGTAGGCTGTGATGGTATTATTGGATCTGGTACCAAGCTAGATAGATGTGGTATATGTAATGGTAATGGTAATTCCTGCCGTTTGGTAGCAGGTGTATATACTAAATCACCTCGCTCGAAATTTGGTTACAATCATATAGTGACAATACCCAAAGATGCCAGAAGTGTTAATATTTCAGAATTAACTCGTAGTAGAAATTTCTTAGGTAATTGTTTAAACGCTTAACATGTATACGTTTTATAAGCAAAATGAATTGTTCTTGGTCTTCTGATCTTCACTATGCTCTATTGTCGGTGAGTTTCGGCATTCTACAGAGTAGAACTTCGCAATGCTCAAGAAATTCTAGATTGGTTGAGAACTTTGGCTCCTTTGATAGCTGACACCTGTCAATCCATTAAACGACGGAATTATATTTGCCCCATCCCCATACACAACCTCTTTTATTTTTTTTTTATTTAGCTGTAAAATCTGGAGGGAAATATTACATTAACGGTAATAGAAGATTACATCGTACTGGTAACTATCAGATAGCTGGTACAACATTTATTTATAGTCGTAGAGACGGTGTAGGTTGCCCTGGAGAATGTCTTACAGCTGATGGTCCTACAAATCAAACAGTAGATATAGAGGTATGGTCCAATGCAGTCGAACGAAGATGGTTTAAATGTAGCATGATGCAGCATTGCTCTCAGATGGTCTCTATCGAAAAGTATCTAGATTCGTCGATTTGGTCATCGTGAAATTCCGTATATTTTTAAATTTACCATTGTTCCTGTAACACTTGAATGTTTATTTCTTGTTGTGTTTTCAACTTGACTGCTCTTTTAGCGAAGTCCACATATCTAAAATAATCTTATTGATTCTGTACTTTTCAGGTTTTATATTATCACAAGAATCCTGGTATAAAATACCAGTATTCACTCCGACATAAAACACTAGCTGATTATAGAGGTATAGACTCAACAGGACCTGGTATACCTCTAGCTAAACCAGTTCATGGTGCTTCTCCTGCTATAAATAGTATACCAGAAGAGGGAATACCGCTCAGTAAACCATACGTACCACCAGGAGGTGTACCTCTTGCTAATCCAGTCTATGACAGTGGACCATTTATTAGAAAAAGTTCCGATAATAGATTGATTATCAGGAATCGTGCTGGACACGGTGAAATTATTAAAAATAACTACGGGAAACAATATCCGTTTTACATTCCTAATAAAGTTCAGAGTTCTTTAAATAGTGAGTTACACACCAGTGTGAGTGGAGGTTACCCTAACAAACAAGCTGTACGAAGTTCGTATGGCAGCAAACCTATCAATCAAACAGTAACATCAAACGATGTAGGTGAATCTATTTTGTTCAATTCTATCCAAGAGACCAATAGTATTTATAACAATGTTCATGAAGATGGTAGTGTATATTCCTGGAGTATTTCTGGATTTACAGAGTGTTCACAACCTTGTGGTGGAGGTAACTATAATTATTTTAATTAGAGTCGGTATGGAATCAAATCTATGCGTTTGCCCGGAAAGCCCAAAACAACCCCCAAATGATGTTTGATAAATCTAAAATATTAGTTCCTCGGATTGTTTCTTGAATTGCTATCAGCTCATAAACGTGCGCAAACAAGAAGGGTTCAATGTCTAAATTCAGTCCGTAACCTACGGTATTATTTTCAATATATACCTCTATGAGTAAAAAATCGATTGGAAACACTAGAATTTTTATCCCCCAGATACATGTAATGGAAATTGGAAACAGTGGATGCTTTTTGGTAGCCATTGTTTAGTTGTTGCTGATCTTGATTAATTAGGGCTAGTTCAGTTCGCAGTTAGCACCAAACAATTTTTACCGGAAGTAAAGAATTGTACCGAAGCTGCCATTTGCTTCGTTAATTAAATTTTCCATACAGCCAAATGGGACATTAACAATATCGACTCAAAGACTTTTCAAAAATTGTCCCTTTTAAGATATCTGTATTGGCACACGCTCACTCATTTTGAAAGATCATTTAGCAATGCCAACTTTCGCTCAATTGATAACTTCCCGATAACCCAAAGTGATTTGTTAATGAAAAATTTAACATTTGTCATTGCAACAGTTGTCATCAACACACTACAGATAAGATTTTTAGAGTCGAGCTAAATATTTATACTACCAATTACATAGAAAGCCATCAAAGGGGCGTAACGATGGACGTTAATGCATCAATCTTCCTGTTATTTTGAAACTACCTGAAAAAACGGTCGAAAAGTCGTTAATTACCTCATTAAATATACACCCAACCAATTACTTTAAGGTTGGGGTTTCTTATGGCATTTTTATTAAATACTTTTGTTAATTGGTTAATTGCGAATTATTCAGTGCAACGTAAAAAGTAGAAAGAAACTAAACCACATATAAAAGATTTGGTATGATATTTGATAAAAGAAATGAACTTAATTTGATATCATTAAAGAAAGTGAAAATAGATAAAGTTTTCTTTTATATAAAGTGCAATTGTGGGGTTTGAAAGGCTTTCATAATGTTTTCTAGACTTTTTTGATGAAGTGTTCTATCAAAATGTTGGCGACAGACTGCTAAGATTATTTGGCTCCCCATGAATTTGAAAATTACAAAAAAAAGTAATTTACAGTATTCATATAAAAAATGCCTTTATAATTACAAGAATCAATTTCGGTAAAGAAGCTGTGTAAATAACACAACCAACTTTTCCTGTGAAAATGCAATAAAACCTCGTCGACTTATAAACAAGACGATGTAGTCGATTAAACTGAATCAAATTCTGGTCGAATTTTGTTCCATTAACGATTCTAAAATTAACCCCTCCCACACAGCAATACAAGTTTTAAGAGGGTTATGCAATAAAATGTTTTCCAGACACCATCGTTTATAATTTTGTTTATTCTTTTATGTATTCAAAAGACAAAAAATATGACATTTACTAAGTAACCCCTCTTAGAATTTAAAGATTTCATCAAAATTTATTCAAGATGTGTTGTCAGGAAGCAAGCAATCAAATAATTGGTCAATATGATTGGGAATGTTTATACAATTTTAGATAGATCCCATGGCCAAGAGCATAGTAAGAAGAAGTATGATCTTAGGTTATGGCAGATGTTGTTCAGAGAGACGGCCTAGTAAAACCTTGCATTGAAATCGCAAAAGGGTATAATATGTCTGACCAAATTTGAATGACCTTAAACAAGAACAGATTATATCGGGAGTAAAGACCACCCACCGTGAATGCTGACTTATTCGACCAAGAAGTCTTAATCACTCGCTGCACTATTTTCATACGGATGTCCGAGAGGATTCTTATGTGTACATCGATGTCGGTGCTTCGAGGGAGGGCAAAAAATTCAATTATCGGACCTAAGGCCCAAGAAGGATTGATTGGATCACTTCTAATTGTAGGTGTACAGGAAACAAAGATAATCTGTTTGAAAGGAAAATCTAAAGTAGTTGTTACAGAAGACAACTGCTTTGGACAAGTCAAACCTGCTGTCCAGGAAGTTGTGTGTAATTTAAAACCATGTTCTGCAGAGTAAGTTTCACTTTAGTCATTTTTAGAGTATGCAAATTTGGGACATCAAACTAATTGTTTCTCATTGATCAGAAGGACAAAACAGATCTGGTAGCTGTTATGTAACTCCAAAAAACCCCAAATAACTTCAGTAAGCATAAGGAACATTACCATTGAAACCGTTTACATGCTCATCCTTTTGATATACTTTGTAGAAATTGGTTTATTTGACATGTCCGGTTCCATGTTCAAGAACACTGGCGGAGCCAAAGGGGGGAGGGGGCAGCCGCCGAAAGCATGTTTTTCGTGCAAAAATCTCATTACTAGGTTAGAGACTCGGGCAATCTCAGATATCTGGCCCCTCCCCCCTCGGACGTAGACCTGGTTCCGCCACTGTTCATGAACATTCAAACATCCTCTGTGATTGTCCCACCGTCTTATCAATATATCAAATCCTATCCAACCAACAATCGTGTACTGTGTTTCAGTTGGTTTACTGGTAACTGGTCAAGCTGTACTACCAGCTGTAATAAAGGTACCAAGTCTAGATTAGTTGAATGTAGAAGAAGAATATCGCCAACATTAATACCTAGTGTATCAGCTGATCTATGTATAGATAAACCTAAACCTCAAAGAATTAGATCTTGTCAGCTTACACCTTGTATTAGATGGTCTGTTGGTAACTGGACGAAGGTAAGAGAATATATTTTAAATCATAAAAAAGTTTCAGTTACATGTAAAAATAACAGTAACATGTAAAAATAACAGTAACATGCAACAATAATAGTCCTTACATGTAACAATAACAGATATATTTTATGGTAACTACCATAGTAGAAAATTCTCAAAGGGAAACAAGTCAGTCCATTCTTGTATTAAATGCGATCTTAGAAGACCCCAAGTAAGTGGCAATGACATTCATATTGGGAAGATGAAGAAATTGACAAACTCCCAAAGAACAATATAATAATATAGTCCTGATACTGGAGTTGACTGAATCCATTTCCTGATGCTTCACTGTTACCGTAAAACCTGCTCATTTTTAAGCAGGATGCTAAGGATTCCTGCTGATCTTCATGGATTTCATTTTGATTTCAGTGTTCTACAGAATGTGGTCATGGACAAAGATCACGAGAAGTAACTTGTATTGATGGAGAAGGTATAAAGGTATTGGATAATAATTGTACCGGACCTAAACCAAAAGTAAAAGAAATATGTGACATGGGGTCGTGTGTAAAAGGCTGGTATCATTCAAGATGGAGCGAAGAGGTAAAGACTCTTGAAATATTAGTTTTACGTTTTTACGTACTGAGCCCGTGTAAAACTCAATAAAGTCAATAAAGTTTAACATTGAAACACCTCTATTTGCAGTGTTCACGAACTTGTGGCAAAGGTTACAGAACGAGAAACATTTTCTGTGCTTCTGACGATGGTCAACATCTGTCCAATAAGAAATGTTCACCTGCGGAAAAACCTTCTACCAGAAAATCTTGTAAAAATAAGAAATCATGTGGTGGATTCTGGTTTATTGGTCCCTGGAGTCAGGTAATGAGTCTTTAGTATTATCATGTGAGTCATCACTATTCAGGTACGAACAAACAGCCTCTATATACGATACAGTCTTACCATCTCTTGCATTAGCAATTCTTCAAGGATGGGTGGGTTGGAGGAAATGTCTTCATTGAGTTTCATGTGGCAAAACATGGATTATGCGTGCTTTTAAAAATTGTTTCCTATTGTGTCTCGTAAACATTTTTCATTATAAGGAAGCGGTTTGCATGATGCAATTCCTTATTCCTTTGGTTCAACTGTTCCAACGTGCTGGAAAGGTATTTTATTTTAATGGCGTTCTTTTATGTTGGTGATACTGCACTATCTTCTGATGTTGTCAGCTCTTGCGGGCTTTTCAATATCAGCGCAATACAATTACAATGTGTCTCTAACGTACCCTTTAGTTATCACATCCCTTTTAAAGTCGCTCACGATTACCATTAAAACCATAGTAGGTATTCGTCCTTTGAAGACTTCAAAAGGCAATAAAAAATATCTTATTATGGTTTATATTGTAGTGTAATGCTACATGTGGTTACTCTGTAAAGACAAGAGGTGTGGTCTGTATGAGAGAGTTGCGAATTGGAGTTTACACAACAACCAACCCAGAAAAATGTTTACAAGAGAAACCACCTACAGAAGAAATTTGTCCAGACTTACCACAATGTAAACCAATATGGTATATGACCAAATGGAGCAAGGTAACCCCTACGTTGTTTTTTATCTGCTTAAACTGTGATATGTTAAAAAATCAACATAAAACGATATGGAGACGATAAGACTTTTATTGTGGTCTATTTAAAAACATTGCTTAGCACAATGGCAGTATTTATATTCAGAATGGCCCAGATTTCTGACTATGCTCAAAATGATCGTCTTGATTTGGCAACTGAAATTCTAAACGAAGATCAGTATTCGTTTTAAGTCGGGATTTAACGCTTAGTGGTATATTTTGACCAATTCACAAAAAAGAAGATATTCAAATTTCAAAATTCCATTTCATGCAATTATTTATATTTCAAAATGATACATAGAGTTATTTACCTTGCAGTGTAGTAAAAGTTGTGATACTGGCGTTAAAAAGAGAGAAGTCAAGTGTTTGAATGCTGATTTACAACCGGATATGACGTGTGATAAAAGCAGACGACCATCAAGGAGACACAGTTGTAATAAAGAGTCTTGTGAAATAGCAAGTTTTGACCTTCAGCGAGATGCTAGTGGTATTGAAACTTTTCCTTTGAACTTTTGAAGTTACTACTTACTTATACCACTTAAACCTTAGCAACCAACACTCTGAAATTGGCATACGTAACTTTGCTCATAACAATGTGGGCCAATTTAAGTCTAAAACTAATGACAACCATGTCCACTAGGAGAGATCTACAGGCTTTGCAAGTTCTTAACCAAGCCCTGTACGGGAAATGTTCCCAAAATATGCTTTTTTTGTTTATATTTTCAGGTACTGTATGTAAAGATCTGTATAACCAATGGTGTGGTTTTGTTAGACAAGCTAGAATATGTAGTTATAAATATTATAAAGACTTGTGTTGTAAATCGTGTTCAATACTCACATAAACAATCCTAACCTTATTTATTGACATTTTATTGTATAATATTATAGTCGGCCAGAGATATTATTGCACATCTGGAGACGATTCCTCGCGTAAAAAAAAACAGCTTCGTGTAGGAAAGTATACATGGTATTTGAAATTTTACAGCTAACGCTTAGAGTAAGAATGATGTGGTCTGTCCGTTTTTAGTAGGGCAAAGATTTTCTCCGAAAGTCCAGGTATGCTTGAAAACAGTACATTGCCTTTTGAGGTACTGTAGCTGAAAGCTGGTCATATAGAGGCATAGGTAGTATAGCAAGCTTTTATATTTTCAATTACTATTATTTTACTCCCATACGAAAAACTGCTCATGTTTTTGTATAGAAAGTAACCGGATAAGTATAGGTACGCCTCTATTTGTCCGATACTTATCCTCGTTTAGACGTAGAAATGTGCCATATTTAGTTGATTTTAACGTCCATTTCATATACATGTATATAATTTATATAAACCTTCATTACCGATCTGAAAGTTTTCAAAGACTTTTCGAGTGCGGCCTATAGTCAACCAATGTTAAAGGGATTGTAAAAAAGTGTCTCCGATAAGCATACAAAAAATAGAAATCTTCTTTACAATCCCATTAAGGTCGTCCTGGAAGGTATCCATATACACGTACTTCGCATATATCCACATTCTCTGCAACGATATAAATCAGTAGCGTTCAGCACATTTACATGAAAAGGTTCTGTACCTTTCTTACTATAATTTTCATAATTCGTTATGATATTGCATGGAACTGAAGAATGACTTTCGAACAGCAATATTGAGTACTAAATTCACCATGACCACTTTCCTTTTCACCAAGAGAGAAGACGCAAAGAGAAAAACCTTCGAATAATGCGTCACATAAATGTTTTGAACATCGTTACTGGATACTGAGTCGTTATTGACCATCCTTATTGGATATCGAGTCGTTCTTGAACATCGTTATTGGATACTGAGTCGTTCTTGAACATCGTAATTGGATATTGAGTCCTTCTTGAACATCGTTATTTGATAGTGGGTAGTGTTTGAGTTTTTGGGAACACACTTACATTACGACCAATGGAATCCCGCAACACGAATTGCATTTGTTTGGAGTCATCATCTTGGGTATACGTTAAAGATAAATAGTTATGTTGTTTACTGAAACGAAAAATTTCTAGATGTAAATTTATTTGTTATAAATGTTTGAAGCGAATAAATCGTTTCTATCTGATATATTATCTGAAATTTAGCTATAGAACACTCAGTTTGAAAATTAGATTTTGACCTATCATTGTTACCATTTGATTTGTGTAAAACAGCTTTTATAAGGAGGTAAATGAAGTCTATTGGGATAATAAATGGCAATTATGGCAATAAGATTATAATGTATTTAATCTAATCAAAATGGCATGTAATAATAATGTTTTTTATGGCATCTTATTGTTTGTAAACTAATCTATGTATTTTGTGAAAGTGATATATTATTTGAATAAATACACACAAAACTTAAAAATGTGTTCCTTGTTTCTTACTTAAAATCAGACCAATTTATTTCCTTGTTCTGCTGATCCCCCTTTCTCAATTCTCCAGAAATCATTACCAGATGTTGTATATTATGTGTATATTTATGTCACCCAAATACCTGTAGCGAAGTCCGTAGAGGCAATTTTATTCAGATTTTCCATACACTTACTCACTCTTCTTAATTTAATGAAAAAAAAAATGAAATGAATGGAGTTTTACGTCCTACTTTCTGCACCATGTGGGCTAAGGAAGATCGGCAACGCCATGCAGGGTGCGAGGAAGGAAATTTTGTCAGGACATCGACATTAGCCTGCTCTTTTTCGATTTCCAACTGTCGAGTGATCTTTAACGTGCACAGCCCGTAGCATACGAGGACTCGGTTTATTGCACTAATCAAACTGTTTATTCCAACCCCAACATTAAGACAAGAGAGATAACTGTGTATAATATTTTAATATCAATATCATATAAAACATCAAACATTTATATTGAATACATAAAACAATGTATAATAATATTATACAAGTCAAGAACACATCAGACACGGTTTATATAATGGCGCTACATTTATTTATTCCTTATTTTTGCATGGAATAGTGTTAAGTGATCATGCGCTCTTTAAGGTTGATTTCTGAAGTGACCGTTGAAGAAACATCTTGCATAGCCTTCATTACATCTTCACAATGTCAAGCTAATACGAACTTCGTCTTTTACCTTGACTGCAACAGTCATTGTTCTTGTACTACGGAGGTTTGTAAATGCAGCGATTTGATTGGATAGTACGCTGGTGAGTTCAGTCAATCAGAGCTCTCGACAGAATGTCTTAAAACAAGAAGCCATAATGAATACAGTCTTTCTGTCAAGGTCTCTGATTGGCAGTATTCGCTGCAATTCGATTGGATTATACGTGATCTAAAACAGCTAATCAGAGCTTTCGACAGAATGTCTTAAAATAACAAGGCATAATGAATACAGTCTTTCTGTCAAGGTCTCGTATCGGCAGTATTCACTGGCGTAAAATCCAAACGAATCACTGCATTCCATGATACAAGAACAGTGGTTATAGCAGTCAGGGTATTAGACGAATGTTTGTAATTACTTCTTCGTAATGTGAAGATGTCACCTTTTAAATCTATTTAGATCAACATTGCAACTTTATAATAATATATCATATATATGTTTATATACAAATTATATACAACTTGCTTATCGCTTTTTTCAAAACCTTTGCGATCCTGTGAACGCAACGCATCATAAAACGGCAAAAATGACGTCCACGAAATATAAACTGACATGCTTGAATATTCCTTCAGTGCCCTATTTGATTATATCGTTGTTATTAACCATATTTGTCTGATAATAGTGAAGTAAAATAAACATGGAAGGAGTTGCGCAGTAAGAGACTCGGATCTTTCAAAGATATTCTCAGTAATTCTATTCAAACATTTCTACGAAGATAAGTCTACTACAGTAAGACTCTTAAAATCGGCCACGTACGGCCCGAAAGATTTGCCCGGCTTATATAATAGGGGTCGATATACAAGGGAACCGATGTTCAGGTGGTACCGTCCTCACAAGTATCTCTGTACAATAAATTCTCGCATATCACCTTCATCAACAGAAGCATGCTGCTTTCACCGCCATTGAAGTTCCGAAAATTCAGATACGTTATAGGTTCCATCCATATAATAATCACATATAATTTTATGCAGTGTGTATAGTGACAGTATTATGCGCCATCTTGAATTCACCAAAATTATGTAGCACTTTTTCCAACATCCAAAATATATATACACTAACGATATCTCTGTATTAAATACACAATTATAGAACACAGAACAACAAATTTATTTTAAATGCACAAACACATACTGGATTTAATTCCTTTTAAGGTTGCACCTGATAGGTCTTCAAGAACACTATATTATCTCTCGGGTATCTAAATTTCTTTTACACCAAAGAACACACTACTGGTTACTGTAGGCCCTTGAAGTCTGCTATAAATATTTCTTACAAGACTTGCAGCATTGTTTTTGATAATATTTATAGCCACAGATTCTAGCTTGGTGAACAAACTGGCACCAGTCAGGATAGGTGTCTTTACAATTATCATCTGGAATGACAGGAAAATAAACTAAGGTCCTGGAACTAGAATTCAAGATGGTTGACAATTATTAGATATGGCAGGGTATCAACATGTCTCGGAGATTGAAAGGCCGGATTGGCGGAAACTTTTCAATTGAAAAGAATCGATGTCATGGCGACTTTCATAAAGTTCATATGGCATAAGAACTGTTTAAGAGAATAAAAATCCGTTATTTGAAAATCTTGTCCAAAGACTGGAAAAATCGAGAGTAATGGTAGTATAGTAGTTGTCTCCTCCAAGGAGAAGAACCATAAGGTGTCCTTTGTTCAAGGCCGATTCATCTGCTTTCCATGGACAACACTGGAAGCGGGAAGGGATTTTCATGTGTTCATTGAAAACAACACATTGGGACTTAAAATATATTACCTCCATCTCCATCAGAATCTTTCTGAAGATTGAAATTTGCCTTTTGACAAGACTCTTTATTACAACTTTGTCTGGTTGCTGGTCTTTTTCTCTTATTACACGTCATATCCGGTTGTAAATCAGCATTCAAACACTTGACTTCTCTCTTTTTAACGCCAGTATCACAACTCTTAGTACACTGTAAAATAGTTTGATATAATGGGATAATTAAGGGGTCATTTTATCAAAAAGCAATGGTTCTGTATATAGATCAGCTCATTAGGATAAATATAGATAGTATACTGAATAAGAAAACAACCAACGACGAAAAATTAAAAGAGCAAGCAAACTAAGTTCAGGTAAAATTAAATGTTACATGTGGTTGTAATCAGGTGCAGAATAACTGGGCGAGCGAATTCATATCATTGCAGAATTGTAATATGCCTTTAAGATGATGGGCTTTACATCCAACCATCATTCTGACATGAGTGGTGGCTCAGCGACATGAGTTGGGACCCCTGGACTTAAGTGATTGGGGCCACTCCATCGGCATTCTGAGACCCCCATTTTGATAAATAAAGACATAATATTGCCCATGGTAGGTCCTCAGTATACTTTTTGTAACCATCAATTACTGAGGCACATTTTTTTCATTTATTTATATCTTTTCTGGTGGTTAAGGCCCGTGGTTCAACCAGTAACTAAGGTGGCTGGGTCACATGGCGTGAGATCACAACATTTGCACTTTTGGTCACATTTAGATTTAAATTTACCTGACTATATTCTGTCATATACCAGGTTGGTTGGCAAGGAGGTAATTCTCCACAATCTTTGGTCGATTCTGGTTTTTCGTCTGTTAGACAGTTCACATCTTTAACTACGGTATAAACCTCTGATCTTAATCTCTTCATACAAACAACACCCCTCTCTAATACACCATGTCCACAAGTAGCATTACACTGAAATGTCAAATAATTCACTTAGTAGCTCCTTTCTTTCCTAAAACCACACCCGTTTCTTCTTGTTTAGTGTTCCTCCTATGCCGTTCCCTTACCATTTGTACTTGTATCCTAAACTTTTTGATACATTCACTGATACTCCATGGTCTTCCTTGTAATAGCATCTAATGCTTTATCCGCTTGAAAGTAATTAGCTGGTTCTATCTAGACAACCTACCTTTGACCACGGCCCAGTAAACCAGTTACCACCACAAGGAAGGTCTGACTTACAAGTCTTCTTTGTTTTGGGCTTTTTAGCAATGGGGCATCTTTTATCTGGTAAAGTTGAACCATCGTCAGCAGCACAAAATATCTTTCTGGTATAGAATCCTCGACCACAATGAGCAGAACACTATAAAAGAGAAAGTGTTCTTGGATAACCACTGCTGATAATAACTCTTCCGGTGCAACAGGCTATAAATAGTTGAGCTGGACTCAATTATGACAAAGCAAGATGGTCTTATATATTTGGTCCGTACGTTTCTTTCTTTTTCCGATAGTCGACGCAACTATTTACGATTAGAACTTTAGTATATAGACACAGCTTTTATGGAACAACAATCACTGGTTAAAGTTTTATGCATATGAATCGTTTTTTTAGCAGGTGTCAAAGTGTATACTAGGCAATTAAACTATGCACCATATATACAATACAACCTAAATATCTACGTTTCATAATGTAATAATGATAATTGGTACATAGACACCGAGGAATGTACTTGGGGGTATAAAGTGAAGAATGATACATTGATAACCATTGACATATCTTAAACTGTTTTCTCATTTAATCCAAGTCACAAACGAATTATCCTACATTTTACAACTTGCAACTAACATTCCAAAATTGTTCGAATAACAACCGATAACAAGCCGAAATTTTACAATTTTTTTAAATCCCGCAAATCCCTTTCCCTAAAAGTGTCAAAAGAAATAAAGGGACAGAGCGTGTCATAAGTTATGCGAGAGTCAAATTCTGATAAGCTGTTATCAAAAGGGATTAATTTATGTGGTAATTTTCACCATTAAACACTGGTAAATACTTATCATTAAGGGTTATATGTCATTAAAAGGGTTTTAATATATTTTTGGCAGTTTATAAATTGAACCATAAAATATTCTTGTCACTTTCTCCGTGTTTTATCAGCTTCAAACATAATAAATATTTCTTTGATTGTTATCGCAAATATGCACAGGTACGGGATAATTAAATATTTGCTTTTTTATCAAAGAGTGCACTTCCTGACTCAAATATTTGCAGTCGTAATGATTCGGTGAGACATACTTAATTTGGTATCTAAAATGGAAACTGTTACACTCTAAGTGTATATAGTTGTCCTTTTTAAGGAGCCATGTCTGAGTTCAACTGCCCGATCTCATCGCAGAGATTCGTCTTTTCATAAATGCAATATTAATCACTAGGCAGCATTCCATCAGAAGGCACAGTCCAAATTTTCATGTTTCAATTCGATACCGGGCTATAGAACATATACTTATCTGTTTGTTCTAACACCAATCCATGACAAGCCAAAAAGCATCAAGTGTGAGGAACCTAAACCCCAATAAGAGATCATTCTGCTTCTGCATTTAGCTTAAATGTTTCAAATCCTACATGAAAGACCTTCCTGGAATGGAGGCATGCACTTTTACTGACCTCATCTGACCATCGTGTGTGGTACCATCCTTCAGCACATGATCCCATATCACAGATTTCTTCTGTTTTTGGTTTCTGTCGGTCACATTGTGATATATCTGTGATTTTACCATTCATATCTTTACAGTTTACTGTTCTTGATCTTTGTCCATGACCACATTCAGCTGAACACTGCAATATAACAGAAATTACGTACTGACTGTCCGACCAGATCGTTTCCAGAAAACCATGAAAGAAAATGCAAACCAGCGCCAAAATGTGCAAAATGTGCCAAAAAAATTTCACGCGAAATCCTTGCAAAGGAAGTTTATATGACAGTTACATGGAAAGTGAAAGTCGTTACTGAAAACCTTCATGACCAGTAAAAAAAGTTATTAGAGTAAACGTGAAAAAACAAAATTGCAGACGTACCTTGCTCCAGTTTCCGGCGTTCCAGGTAGCACAAGGTGAATTACTACATCTCTTAGTTCTGGTTGGTTTTGGTGTATTTAAACATAGTGTTGCTGATACACTAACTTCTAGTGTTGATGATATCCTTCTTCTACACTCGACCAATCTGTTCTGTTTTCCCACACCACACGTAACACTACAACTAGTCCAGTTACCAATAAACCATCTGGAAGGAAAACAACTATGAGTCTGAAGATTTGTTCCATTTTTGGCTCTGGATCTTAATCTCTTGCATTGATTTTTCCGTTTTATCTCTAGCATTCCCCAAAAACATCAGCATATTGAAGAGGATATATCCCTAATTATAACCCCAAGGTCATTTCAAATTCCAAAACTTTCCGTCCGACAGAAAAGACCCAGCTCTTGCTCTTTATCGTGGTTGATATAATGGAACTGTGCTGATATGTGCCAAATTGGAAATTGGAGTATGAAGACAGTATGACTTACTCTGCTGATGGACAAGGGGAATTGTTACAGCCCACTGTTTGTTCTTGGGGTCTAGTTGAGGGGTCACAATTTTCTTCTGTTACTTCTACATTGGATGTTCCTTTCATACATAAAACACGCGTTTTCTGGGTACCTGGAAGGAAAATTTCAATATCATATGAATTGTTAGATACATGATCGCAAGATCTCATTCTCGAGGTCAAAGGGAAAACCTCATAAGAGTAGTTAAATGCGGAGATATTTCGCCCACGTATAACCATTTCGCCTACGTATATTCAGATAAGGATATGGTAAAATAAGACTTCTTGAATTTGCTTATATACTATACATGAATTAACACTCGGGTCACAGGTTATGTATCAATCCTAACCAAAACATATCATCAAACTTGCAGCCAGAATTTGTTCAGTGCTACTAGAGCTTCTGGAAAATTATTGTAATATATTTCACGACAATGCTTTATAACGGAGTGCTCGTATGTAACCAATGAATGGGATTCTAACATGAACAAACTCGAATGCAACCAATACATAGGATTCTAACATGAACAAACTCGAATGCAACCAATACATAGGATTCTAACATGAACAAACTCGAATGCAACTAATACATAGGTTTCTTACATGATCACACTCGAATGCATGGAATTCTTATATGAACAAACTCGTAACCAATCTATAGAATTCGAATGCAACCAATGCATTGGATTCATACATGAATCACCGGTGAACAAACCATTATCAAGACCGAGTTGTTTTCTTATTTTAAATGTTTAACAGTCACACAGACTGCTCGGTATGAGTTCTATTTTATGATACATTTCTGAAAAATTTTGTGGGTGGGAGTTTTTACAACGTATTAAATTTTATGTACTTTTTGATTCAGTTACTGGCGTATTTTATTGTTAACTTTAAAATCTCTAGACCGTTGTAGATACGTCTTTTGTGGGAAAACATTTGTCATTAGTTGTTAGATAATTTGCCTATATAAACTATTTCAAAGTTTGTATGTAATTCTTTAATTCGCCAGGTGTTATGAAATGTAAATAGTAAAAATTCTAACGCTAGGGGTTTAAGCCCCGGTTTGAGAGTTTGTGAGTAAAATAATCCACACCTACTCGTTTTAAAACAATATCAAAGATTTACTCTTATATGTAAATTAAATTTGTCTACAAACGGTAACATTAGACAAGTATAAACAAACTATATATTAATTCATCGCGACATTTACCGTGAATTTCAAGAGGGTATAATTTTCACCCAGACCATAAAAGTGTGGTCTAGATTGCATCACTAGTGTTAGGTTTAAGACAAACGTAAAGTAAAACTTTAAAGAGATAAGGTAATCTGAACAAGAAGATATTATCCTATAAAGGATTTACAATTAAATTGAGAGTAAACCCGACGCCGGCTTTACCTTTTGAAAAGTAATACACTAGAGCAGTGGCTCCCATGCTTTTTCAGCCCTCAAACCAATCGTTTGTAACCCTTACACCTCCAAAACAATTCAAAAGATTGTCAATTTTGTAATTTTTCATTCAAGCTAATCCTAACACTGCCGAGGTTCCCAACTCGACTTGGTTAGCTCTATAGCAGTAACTGTTGCACGTCCATTGAACGACATGCACTGCACGTTCTGAAACCATACCGATCCACTAAGCACAACAGTTGGCAGGGAGGAATACACCTCTGGTTGCGATCCAGGGCGATACAAAAAAACCGTATGTATGACAGAATAACCGCTTGCTGCGATTGTACTGGTCAATAAAACAAAACTATCCCTTAATGCAGTTTTATGCATCATGACACACCAGTTATATAACACAATTAATAAATGACAACTTTGGCCAATGGTTGTATACTAAACTCTTTTAAGCTTCACTGACGGTCTAATAACCTCACTTTCTTCAAAATTTACAAGGTGCTGTTCGTTCCTTTGTCTTGTGCACCCACTGCACTATCGACACTCTGTCAGCAATTCAGAAAGTGAGGACAATTGAAATGTGAATTTATATATATATTTGAATTGTTTGCCTGTAAATCGTGTGATAACAAGATAAGAGAATTGGGAAATTCTGATTTATTTGTTTAAAACAAATTGAAACGCCGACCTAGTGTTAATTGGTATGGTCTATTTTTGCCAATGATAATGACATTATTTGAAGAACTTCTATCAATGTATGAATTGTAACAGTGAACATTTTTTTTGTCGTTAACAAACAATAGAATAACAGAAAAATTAAAACGAAGATTTGGTAGAAACATTTTAATACAAGCAAATTAAATCCTTTAAAGGGAGTTTGTATCCGCTTCGTTAAAACACGAAATGTGACTAAATCATATCTCCCAGTGTTCAACAATATGTAGATTTTTGTATTTGGAAGTCAATTTTTGTTATCTTAGTTCGTGTCAGTAAAGAACCCTTTAATGAAGACAATGTAAATTGTTGAAACGTTGTATACAATAAAACCCAGGAGTAGTTTACCATAGAATTATATATTTTCATGTCAGTAAAAGGAACAATCCTTTTTTATGATCTTCATTTGTTTAACATTTTTACAAAAACAACCTGTTTTCCAAAATAACTCTTTCATCATTAGTTTTATTTGCAACTCTTCATTCAAAATATACCCCGTTAATTTAAGAATTTCGGGCGTCGATAGTTGGTATTTCAACGAATTCTATTTCTATATATATTTTATTTATAAGTATCTGTTCATGTTATGATCCCATCTTGGCATAAACCTCAATAGATGTGATAGTCTCTATTATCATATCTTTATCTTATAATTAATGAATTTTCATTGAAATATGGAAAGAATTTCAACAGCCAAATTGGGTCTCAACAACCTAAAATTTATCTTACCATTTACCACAATCTCTCTAACTTACCATAGTTAAAATTGGTACCCTTCCTGTTTTATTGGGAGTTTTTTATTCATTGTACCATTTTTACAATTCTTTCAATTTTTGTCTGTAGTACCACAGAAATCTGCTACAGTACCCATTTGCATGCTAGTCGAAGACTTTAATTTCGTATGTGGAGCTAACTTTAACATTTATGCGTCAACAAAATCGAAACATTTTACAATATTTTTGTAGATAGAATCTATAACAAAAGTTTTTTTGGAAGATTTAAAGAAAAAGCACTTACCGCCACCACACGATCTAGAACATTCTGTAAAGCCTGAAATTCTCCAGGAATATAATCCACTTTTATCAACCAGGTTTCTATCATGACTCTGTAGTATTGGATTGGGTTGATAAGGGTTACTGGTATCAGTCAGTGTAAGGTAAGAAGATTTGGCTGAAGGTATAATGTACTGTCCAGTTCTTGAGACCACACTCTGTTGATTCAATCGTGAACTGTCCACAGAACCAGTGTTGGTGTATCTAGAATTCAACTGATTACCGTGGTATCCCGAATATCGTGAGCCAAGCACCTGTTGTTGATATCCACGACGAGTATTGGGTATGTATGTTGGTGATTGCCCATACTGGATTCGTGGATGAAAGCGATCTGCGTCGATTCTTCTTCGGATGATGTATCTGTCATCTCTACCTCTTGTTTTGGATGAAATTTCGTCTTTCTGCGCTTCCGGTTGACTCTTGGAATTATGACGTTGTCTGTTGGTTTTATGTCGACTTCTGTTGGAATGTTTTCTATGATGATTTCTATGCTGTTGATGACTATTTGAGTGATGATTATTCGTGGATGATGAAGATGATGATGATGATGACGAAGGTAAACCCAGCTCTTCGACCTGTTCATGTGGTATTGTAAACTGGTAGATTATGCCCGGATTGCGATGATAATACAATACCTGTAACATATTAAATATGAAAATTTAACAGAGAAAGTTTATTCACGTTCAAATATCTTCTGTATTATTGAGAAGATGCAAACTTGTGTGTGGCTGTCGTTTTCGAATAGATGTCTAACATACCGTGTTCAATGCAATCTTTCGGAACATATTAAACTATGATGAAGCCTGGTGGAATATTCGGTTAGTAAGTCCGTGACGACCTTAAGACGTTCAAATTTTTATAATTTTCAGAATCATCCAGGCAATGCCTTTGAAGCTCGTGGTCGCAAGGACTATTATAACCATTGCTTGCACGATGAAGAATTGCTAATGCTGCCTAAAGAGGAAAATAGGCAATGTTCCTTTGAGACTTACTTCAACGTCAATACTGTTGTTGGTAGGACCTGTAGAATAAATACATTCTCCGGGACAGCTAGGTCCTGTATTTTTATAATATGTAAACTCCGTTCCAGCTGCTTTAAAACTACCAGTTCTCCTTAACTGTATATTACCATTAATGATATATTTACCATCAGTTAATTTTAGTGCTGAAAGATAATCAATAATCTGTTAATTTTAGAGCTAATATACAATATAAGCAGGTTATTCAGAGCTGAAATAAAATATAATATATAATTGTTCGGTTTTTGAGCTGCAATAACATACAATATAATCAGACAGATTGAAAGCTGAAATAACACACAATGAGCAGGTTATGTTCTAACTGAAATAACATACAATATTATATAATCAGTCAGTTTGTAGAGCTTTAATAACATACAGTATAATCAGACAGATTGAGAGCTGAAATAACAAAAAATAAGCAGGTTATTTCTCATTTGTTATACTGAGCTAACATACAATGTAATCTGTTAGTTTAAGAGCTGAAATAACATACAATATAATCAGTTTAATTTAGAGCTGAAAATACATACAATACAGAGCTGAATGCTCATATAGCTACGTTACATCTAAAAGAGCATAAGACGTTTTACAATTACCATAAGGTAATTAGAGAGTTCAAAGAACATCATTATAACCACTTAAATCATCAAAGGAGTGAACAAAAATTATCTGTCGAGCCAAACTGTGATGTACATTAGAATGCCCTCAGGGGAATTTTTAATTGTGTGTCAATTTTAGTAAATTTTATGAAAATAATAAGAGACAGAGGCGCCATTTTTGGGGGTTAATTTGAGTCTTGAATAATATAATATGTAAATAGTCTTCAGAAGTACAAAAAATAATTTCTTTAAAAACTCTTCAAACTAGGAATTTTAGTCATTATTTCTATTATGTTTTTTCTTTATATCACAGCGTAACTTAAAATGACGAGTTGTCATTTTAACATTAAAATGCAGATAATTCTCGACACATGGATTTGAAGGCTCAAATTTCGACGGTGAGCTGTGAACACTATCACTGGTTGGCTTAGCTAAAAAAATCCCGTTTCTGAGACTAAAGTATGATTAGTAAAAATGGCGCCCTTGTCCCTTTAATATGCTCAGACACGACCTTCTAAATATTTAGATATTTGAATACTATACTCTAAATTGCATTCCATACTATAAATATTTGAATATCGTTCATTACATTACATTCCATTTCAAAAAGAAAACAATTAATTATGCACGAAGACATGTACATAAACATAGTATGAAATAAATACAGTTATGTATACTGTCGTATATTCAGCGGCGGCGTAAGCCTCTCCAGACAAATAGGGGGCAACTGACTTAATTGGGGGGGGGGGGGGAGGCAGGCAACTGCCGAGGCTGAATTCAAAATGCGGCAACTCTGTGAAGACATGACGTCATAGTTGCAAGCCCCTCAAAGAGCGACTCAGAGGGTTCTCCCAAGAAAAGTTTCCAAAAATTGATTTCATTTGGTGCATTCTGACATATTTGGAGGCATATAAAAATAATACTTTTAGATTTGTTTAATATAAAGTGGGGGTACAATTGGGGGTGCAAAGCCATTAGGGGCACGCCCTCTACTCCCACTGTCGCCGCCACTGTGCATATTTTTAAGCGTTGGTGGTATATATTATCAAATTTATAGGTTTTTACATATTACCTACGTGCAATATAACATCAAGTAGAGCTATTATAAATTGTATGCAACAATGGGGGAGGCAGTTAATGTCGCACGCCCATTGTAATATAACAGGAGAATAGATGATAGGTTTGTAATTTATTCTCTATTTGACCTGATCTTACACCTTTTATCAAAATGTCAAAATATTCGTGGACGTGTCAAACTTTATCAACAGTCATATAGTCGTACAGTTTGGTCTTGTATACTTTTACTTATCATAATTTCTATATGACTATTTATTTTTCATCTAAGATTATTGACAGTGGACAGGGCAGTTCGTTATATCAACATATCAGTTGACCACTACTGACCCACTTAGGCATGTAAAATGTCATATATTTAAAGGTAAGGGGAGAATGTAATTCACACTGGTCAGTCGAATTGGTCAGATGTCAAATATTGAGTAGGTAAGGCTTGACAATGTTGTCAATATCACACCGGGTAGATATAAGAAATACTAAGTCTATAGACTACTAAATTGAGTAGGGGGGCACGAATATTGTTATATTTGTCATACGATCTAGAAAAATGTGACATAAAAAGAGTAAGGTGTCCAAGTATAGACGGTTACTTAATTATCAATTTTCATTGTAATGAGAATAAATTGTATCGTGTAACTGTTGAGTGGTACAAATAGAACGACTAACTTACTTTCTACTTTTACCTATTATTGAAGAATTGTATTGAATTTGGGGATGTTTTGGTGGGAAAATTTCTATGAGCTGGTCACTATTGTGGACCGCTATTTGAATCCGTCTTTTCCCATCGAGTCAATCTTAAAATAAATGCTACTTTAGATATGAAAACTTTGAAAAAATTATAAGGAACGTCAATTTTTTTCTATTTTGTCAAAGAGTGAAAAATATTTTTTATGCAAGAAGATTTTTGATTGCTTTGTCCTACCCTCATTAGGGGCGGCGCCAGTGGGGATACAGGGTGTTGGGGTTGGTCTACCCACCCTAGAAAAATGGTTTCCACCCCCAATTATTGTACCCCACCTGATTTTAAGCAAATTTAAGAAGATGATACTTATACCAAAATGAATGTCAGAATGCAACAAAATCAATTCTATTTTTCAAAGATGCACTTGGGGCAGAAACCTCTCAAACGCCTATGCGTTTTCAAATATCTATCGAAATTTGAACCTCAACCTCGACAGTATCTGTCCCCTATTTGTACCCCCAGTCTCTTAAAATCCAGAATCTGGATCCACACCATCTTCAAATAGTCTCATGCCTAATATCTAAAACGAATGATCCTAGTCTATAAGTTAAATAACATTTTGTTTCAAAGTGGGATGATAAAAAAAATAACAATTTAGTTGTGAAAGGTTAACTTGTTAAGTGACAGCAGACTACTATTTAGATGACTGGTATATATACAGTCCAAATTGATGTGAACAATAAACATATCATGACATTATCATATTTCATTAATAGTCCATCTGTCAAACTGGACCAATAATTATGTCTATTATTATATACCATATTCCTGTTATCAAATATATATACAAACATACAGCTGATATACTCTAGATATATTGTATAATTGGAATTAGGGCTGGGTCAAAAAAAGTCGAAATAATCGATTATCCTCGCTAGGAATTTATAATTTCGATTATCGATTATCAAATATTTCGTAATCGATTATAACAAAGTTACACTTTCTCCAAAGGTACCCGTAAACAATTAGTAATCTCTTCCACATAGGTTCTATTCTAGCCTTTATATATTTACGTAACTCTGTAATACATATGTGGTTTCTGTCATTTCAGAGAAACTTGATCGAAGACATCAAAAACAAATTCTTGTAATTATATAGAAGTCATTTTCCTTCCAGAACATCAGATACGTATCAAAATGGTACTATAATTCAAGGATTGAAATCATTACTAGGCTGTAAGGTCAAGAAGGTACTGATGCGATTTTGGAAACGAATCTTACAAAGCTACCTTGGTATAAGTCACCTTCGTTTGACAATTGCGTCATTCCAGAATCATGCAAATCTTCACATTTGTTATATTTTGGCATTATGACAGAACCTTTGTTATCCTTAGTCTTTCAAGAAAGGAATGGCATATTCAGTTGATTTTTGGCCTTATCAACCAACCTGGGATCAGTTCTTTCTGACACCAACAGCCCACAAGTGTTGACAGTATGAGATGATCTCTTGTCAATTTATCTTGTGTTTGACTTATTTTGGTTCCAAATTGTGTAACTCTTAGATAATATGTCATGTATTTTTCATAATATTCGATAACGTTTATCTAAGATACAGTTTTATCCTTAAATGATCTGAGTCTGTTCATCTCTTTCCCTATATTTCATGTTATATATTTGCTTACATGACAGTACACTGGCAATGGGGTTTAAATACATTTATAAATTTTAAAAATGATTTAGGTTTAAGTGCAAGTTTGCTTTGTAGTTGGTGTTCAGATGAAATGAACAAGAAATGTTCCACAGAAGCTCGAACGTATAACGCTCTTTATCATGTTTCTTGTTTTGCAGAGAATGCACCAGAGTGCTATCATAGAGATTTAGGTTGGAACCATTTCCATAAATCTAAATGTTGCTCATAGTTAGCGAGAATTTCACGGTGGTCCATTTTCTAATTGTCCTTTGAAATGAATCGTACCTGTTTTATGCAACTAAGAAGGAAATAGTCTCATCAAATGTAGTCTTATCATTCCCATCAGCAACCCAAAATTCCAATCATGTTACCCAATTCACCTTTATAAGTAAAGGTTAAGCTGTCGTCACCACCTTCGCTTATACCACATGATATTTTTCAGACAAATACAGCGCCTGATATTTATTTCAAAAGCGCAACGAGAGTTGAAAATAAAGCAGAGATAACTAGAAATCTAATACTTAACGTATGACAAATCATGAAGACACTTACCCAAGTAATTCCTACTTTTAGCCATTTCAGTAATGTTAATATTACAGGCTCCCCGTGGTATTTTAGTAATATGATTATAACCTTGTTTACTTAAATGTGATCTGGTAAATATTCCCGATATAATTTGACAGCTATTGCCATTACCATTACACACACCACAGCTATCTCTCTTCGCTTGAGATCCCAATATTCCATCACAACCAACTGACTGAAAATACAAACATAATAATTGTATGCATTGTATCATATCAGATTTGCAGATTTGCTTTACATGCACGATTCCAGTTCCAGATCGACTAATATGTTTTTAGAAAATGCATTCAAGTTAAATTGTATTTGCGATATTGGCATTCCATTTATTTCTGGAATCAAAGGAACCAAAGACGTCAGAAGGGAAAATGGTACTCGAATCAAAGAGAAAGTAGCGCAATGATCTTCTGTCTGTGACTATGGAATTGGTAAATTGTTGTAGGAACCACGAAAAGAAAATGCTCATGCAGTATGTAATATTCTTATCTTATCTTCAAACGCAAGAAAATCGCAAGAGATTACGTTATGTCACCACTATTCAAGTACGAGTTGTAACAAGTTAAAAATCCTTTTTTCATTCTATAACAAGTTTCAAATAAACAAACTTGAAACTGTACAGAAATTCTTTAAAATTCTCACTAAATTTCGTGAAAGATTTGCATTGAAATGTGGCCAAGGTAAGTGATTTAACATTTCCAATTTGTTATCAGTGAAAAGCCAGTGTAATTTGAACTGGTATGTAAACGTCAATATACAGGAGTCAACCAACAATTTTTGTCAACACAAGTCTATGTTTTTTCTCACTTTTTCTACATCTAAGAAATGTTATGTATTTGACCTGAATGTTAAAGCAATGGTTGAATATAGAACGTTGGAAAACGAAATTGAGTTTTACGTGCTACTTTTCTTCTGAATATGGCGGACAATGCAATAAAGAGTGCAATGGGGGACATTTTGGCATGACGGTGGTATTGACGTATCCGTTTTTAATATCACCATCGTCACAATTTTAAGCTATTACGAACTTCGTCTTACAACTTATATCTTTTGTATCAGGAAATGCAGCGACTTCATTGGATTGTAAGTCAATGATTAGATCCAATCAGAGCCCTGGAAGAAAAACTGTAAATATTATGGCTTATTGTTTATAGACTTGCGTAGAGCACCGATTGGCTTATTCATTAGCGTATAATCCAATCAAATCCCCCCATTTACAAACTTCCGTTATACAAGTGGCCATTGCAGTTAAGGTATAAGACGGTATAAGTTCGTTATAGCGTGAAAATACGATATCACTTGATTGGGGGATCATTATTTGCCCACAGGACCTCGGTTTTTTATTCCATCGTAACCAGACGCCTTGTCCAATTGAATGGTAGATGTTTTACGTGTCATTACCATTACAATAATTACTTGTTAAATATGTCGCTTTACATGTTTGATTATCTCATACAATTATCCCTTCGCTTCTAATTACATCCGCAATGACTTTTTATAATGTTATAAAGGGCATCGTTCAGACTGTCTTATTTGTTGTACTTTACAATTACCACTCGTAATGTTTTATTCAAGTTAAATTTCTACCAGATAATAGTTGTCAACACGAATTTATAAAGCATAAGGACACTTGTATATATCTGAAGCTGAAAATATGATGTAATCCACTGAAATTCACGATTCGAAATATAAAGAACTTTACCCTAATCCATTATCAGATTGTAACTAGCGTAACCGGAAGTGACGACCTGTATACAACATGGACAAAAGGACAATTGTATAATTGTTACAGCGAATGACAATAATATATAGTCTCTTAAAGAGACTGATTCGACATTTTGGGGGATTGATTTGGATCTTGCATATATGTAACGTCTTCAGAAGTACTGAAATTACGAAAATCGCATAATTCCTTCAAACTCACTTCAAACTAAGAATTTCACTTTCTATTTCTATATATGGCAATGTCTCAAGATAAGACGACTCGTCTTTTTAACTTTCAAATGCGGATAATTCTGGACGCACATGGATTCGAAGACTCAAACCTGCTCCTTTAAGTCCGCACTTTAACAAGGGTAACTTGGTTGATATGAAATTGGCAGATTTTGGTTGTATAACTATCAAATATACATGTTTTATGTCTTCTTCACATTTTGTTTGATAGCCAACTGGTACTTGAAAGAGATTTTGAAGACGTTTTTAATTTTCAATTAGCACATGTCAACTACAGGAGGTCTTGTGACTGAAGATGGTCTTTAAGGCAAATAAAAACCTCTTTACATTCCAATCAAGACAGATAAACGTCATACATAACAATCTACTTTACCTGTCGCTTCACGCCTATTATTAGCTTACCTTAATAATCGCCAACTATTTGACTTTCCATGTAATAAAACTGATAAAGCATGTCCCTAATCTACCTACTCAGAATACGATAGCAACCTTGGTTCGAGTCTGTGAGTGCGGTCAGTCATCTTCGCATTGTCAAGCTATAACGAATTGCGTCTAAGACCTTGACTACAATAGCCACCTTTCATGTATCCCGGAATTTTGTAAATGCAGCGATTTGATTGGTTTGTACGCTAGCAAATACAGACTATTACAGTCTCCAATTACAAGGTATTAGACGATGTTCGTTATAGCTTGACATTGTGAAGACGAAATTCGTTATAGCTTGATATTGTGAAGATGAAGTTGGATATAGCTTGACATTGTGAAGATGAAGTTCGTTATAGCTTGACATTGTGAAGATGAAGATCGTTATAGCTTGACATCGTGATGGCGGAATTCGGTATAGCTTGACATTGTGAAGATGAAGTTCGTTATAGCTTGACATTTTGAAGGCGGAATTCGCTGTCGGTTGACATTGTGAAGACGAAGTTCGATATAGCTTGACATTGTGAAGATGAAGTTCGTTATAGCTCGACATTGTGAAGGCGAAATTCGTTGTCGGTTGACATTGTGGAGACGAACTTGGATATAGCTTGACATTGTGAAGACGAAATTCGTCATAGGTTGACATTGTGAAGACGAAATTCGTCATAGGTTGACAATGTGAAAATGGAGTTCGTTATAGCCTGATATTGTGAAGATGATGTTCGTTATAGAGTGACATTGTGAAGACGAAATTCGTTATAGCTTGACACTGTGAAGGCGAAATTCGGTATAGTTTGACATTTGGGAAGACGAAATTCGTTATAGCTTGACATTGTGAAGGCGAAATTCGGTATAGCTTGAAATTGTGAAGACGTTATACCTTGACATTGTCAAGTTTGAAATTCGTTATTATATAGCTTGACATTGTGAAGATGAGGGTCAGTATGCTTAAACTATTTATGATCGTACTTTGTTACGAAAGTGAAAGGTTCAATTCTCTATTGATTATAATAGGGCGTGTCTGGCTTTAAACCACATATCAGACTTATATCATCAAGAATGTAAACTAGAAGGCCATATTTCAGACTAAAAACCTGTACATGAAGTGAATTGAAGTTGAGATTGGTAGACAATAAAACATTTATGATCCTGTCTGGTAAATATTGATAAAGTTAATTGAAACATCTCACCTTTATAATTTGAATGTTTGGAATTCGTACGTAAATTGAGGTTAAAAATATATACATTGTTAAAAACAAGGTAAAAAAAAATTCGAGGTTTGACGTGACATTCAATTTATCACAACAAAGCTGCATACATTCGTGGAATAGAAATATACATTGCAAAACAAAACCCATCTTCACAATGTCCAGCTATTACGAACTTCTGTGACGTAAGAAAATTGGCTGTTGGTGTTTCAGTCATAAGGTAGAAATTCGTAATAGCTTGGCACTGTATAATAAGAAAAAATCGTTGTATTACTTTCAGATTTCAATTACTATCTAAATCTTCAATCAGACGTCTATGGTAACTGCAATTCCGCTAAAACCAAGTGTTTTATGACGTCCCCCTTCAAAACTTGCTGGTATCACATAAGATCTTTGCGGGGGGACGTCAATTGCTATAACCACAGACGCCTAATTAAAAATTGGAATGGCGCAAATTGATGCTATCATTGTCCTTGATACACTTACATAATTTAGAAAACCTCTTTACATTTTTTCAAAGTCAGATCCTTTTGGAAAGATGCAAGTAATGTTGTCATATTAGGCATCATTTTAAAATAGTTGTGGTGTTTGAAAAGGACAAAAAAAGAGAAGCGGGCAGATGTGGCTACTGTCAAGAGAAAGATAACATTCTCTGAAATATCATGATGAGTTCTTCAGGTTGCCGTAAACTAATTGGAACGAGAATTGGGAACCTTGACACAAACAAGAAACAGTAAAAACGTCACATACACTCGCTAAGTTTTTAATCTGATTTACGGTCGTGGATTGTCAACCAAACACGGTTAACGCCTAAAAACAAGAGAAACTGATTTAAAGGCTTCCCGAAGTAGAATGCTTTAATTTGTATAATGATAGATCTCACTGGCAAATATTTCTCATGGCTCAAACCCACTGTCATTGTTAACGCCCTGGACTCGTATGTGTTGCACATAATCTTGAGAAACACAAAGTGTTAAAGAATTGAAACACCTGGTTTTGATGTGTTAATCACAACAGTGTTACAGGTGTGAAGCTATCAATGCTATCAATATCAGCATTCTTCTACCGATCATTCATGATAACCAACAGATTGATAGCATCATGTTTGTTATATAAATAGACCCTATCTCTGTAAACAAATGATGAATTTTCATTCAGAAATATTCATAAATGTACAAGATAAAGATAATTTTCAACGAAAATGTTATTGTTCACAACCAGTGACACGCATACTGAATTTTTAATTTGCAATGATAAAATCAAAAATGGCTCTGGAACAAAAAAGCATTAAAATCAAAAGGAGTGAATTTGTGCGTTCGTAATAAAATATTGGAAATGGGTATATCAGTCCCAGCGAAAGACAAAACATTCTGGTACTATCAGATGGTTGTCTGGTGTCCACAAGAAATTTTGGTACCATCAGAATACCGCAAAGACACCGGGAAGGCCACGACAAAGGGTTGTGCTGTCAGAATCCAGAGGGAAAGTATTGTATCTACGGCGGCCATTCTCGCTACGTCTGACAATAACCTCGTATTCAGATGGAATTGTTAGGCGGAAGTTACCTCCGCGTTACAAAATATAGTTCGTCAGATGT